TATTCTCTTTTCCTTTTCAATTTTCTTTTCCTTTTTCTTTTCAACAATTAAAACTAAAATCCTAATTAATTATAAAACACCAAATTAACTTAAAAATACTAATTAATTCTAACTAATAATTATCACAAATAATTAAATGCCAAATTAAAAGAAAATCACACAATTTGACTAAAATTACAAAAATATGTTATTATTATTTTTTTTGAATTTTTATTTTTGTAAAACACCTAATTATTAATTAATTCCAAAAAATGTAAAATCAAATCTTAAATGCCAATGCTATATTTTTGTATTTTTAATGGATTAATAAAATTAAACATGCCCATAAATATATGCAAACAATTAGAAAAATCACGCAATAATTTTTAAAAATAACAAATAATTAAAGAAAAGACATAATTTTGGGAATTCTTTTGGAGTAATTTGTGTGAGGAAAAAATCACGTGCTCACAGGTGCATTTTATGAGCTAGACATGTTTCAGCCTGAGAATCAAAAAATCTTGACAAGAAAAAGTGTAAAAACAACGTGTGTAATGAGAACAATAGTGAAATAATCACTATTATCTTTAGCTCCACGGTGGGTGCCAAACTGTTTACCTCGAAAATACGAGCTACAATTAAATTTAATTTGTGGTTTTAAAGATATGTGATTTAGTTCAATACCAATTAATAATCAAGAAGACTGAAGTAGAAATGAAAGAGACAAGTGAATCAAACCAATGTTACTCAGCAGCAGTGACCTCGAGGTAGACTTAGGATAATAAGAACAATTAAGTAATAAAAGTAAAGTAAGAACAATAGAGCTAAAGGATAATGCTGATGAACAATAGGCGAAAAGGTAGAGAGTATATTCTTTGCTCAAATGATTAGATGATCTTACAAATGATTGGGGTCCTCTTTATATAATAGGGGAACCAACAAATAAGGTATATTTCTATTTACAGTAAGGAATATTCTTGGTACATTTGTCTAACCGCCTAGTACGGAATCGTACAATCTTATTCCGAGATTTGCGCCATGACTTTGGGGACGCGGCATCTAGCTCATTCTGGTACAAATCTATAACTGCACTATTTCGGGGTCGAGCACACTTGGCCTCGGTATTCCTCGTACACCTATCTCCGAGCATTACACTCTGTCTTCGAGCTCACGTCTGGTCAGCCGATCTCGAACTCGACCTAGGACGGACCCTCGAGCCTATAAATCAGAGGCATACAATTTTGACCGTATACATCTACAATTCTATATTTCCTCCATCGATCTCCACATATAAAATGAACTATCAATATCCCTATTTATAATAGTATGAAACCTATTTCAACTAGAAACCGGAAAACCTATTTCTATATTTTTTCTAACTGCAAATCATAGGCATGAGTTAAATAAACAAAATCTCCAATAAATAAGGTTTTCCACTACAACTTTGAATTAGTTTTCTAACATTCTCCAGTAATTCAAAATACGTCTGACTTAGCTTGTTCGTTGTGCAGTTATGTTGGAGCATTTCTCTCCAACTTTCACTTTGATGAAGCACATGTCTTTATACCCCGTTGATGCACTTTGTCACCGACACCCAATTTTGTTGAAGCACTTGTCTCCAACCATTGATGCATTTTGTCACCAACATCCGATTTTGTTGAAGCGCTTGTCTCCAACTCCTGCTGATGCACTTTGTCACCAACCCAATTTTGTTGAAGCACCTGTCTCCAACTCACGTTGATGCACTTTGTCACCAACAACTAATTTTTGTTGAAGTACCTGTCTCCAACTCACGTTTATGCACTTTGTCACAAACCGTTGATGCACTTTGTCACCAACACCCAATTTTTGTTGAAGCACCTGTCTCCAACTCACGTTGATGCACTTTGTCACCAACCATTGATGCACTTTGTCACCAACAATCAATTTTGTTGAAACACGTAATCAACTTCCAACTTTTTTAAACCTCTCTTCAACTTTTAAGGAAGAGTTTCTTTATCTTGCGCCATATTGTTTGCACCTCTTTAAACTTATTTTTTTTTCTTGAATCTATCATGAAACTTTTCATCGAATAACCTAATTTTGTCAATAACTATCTATGATTTTGCCAACACATTTTTCAGACGGGCGACACGCATTTTCTAGTGCCACCCGCCGGCAGCGAAGCTACTTGATTTCCTCCCAAGATCGTAGAAGCTCTGATACCAATATAAAGAAAAATATTTTATTTATAAATTTCTAATTGATCTCTGCAATTTATTATTTCCTCCACACATTAAATAAGCTATCAATATCCCTATTTATAATAGTACGAAACATATTTCAACTAGAAATAAAAAAAGTCTATTTCTATATTTATTCTAACCGCAAATCATATTCAGGCATGAGTTAAATAAACCAAATTCCCAATAAGTAAGGTTTCCTATTACACCTTTAAATTAGTTTTCTAACATGTTAATTAGCCTAGATAACAAGTACTATGCTTTGGTGTGTGCTCCTATATATTTGTTGTACTCTCTATTTAAGAATTTAATTTATTAAGACATCAAAGCTATGTTTAGATTAAGGTTGTTATCAAGAGGATGTAAGAAATTTTTCAGCATACATGCTGTTATATTTGCTCAGTTAATACATCAAATTGGGACTAGGTGCATCAACCATCTTATTAGACCTAGCATATGTTATATGTACATGGATTTTTCTTTAATCAACTATTTACATTAGACCCTTATAGTTCATCCCTTCCCCTAATCCCGCACATAACTGGAGCTTAATGTGGACCGAACTGCCCCTACGTACATGTGGGGCTTTGGCGATATGTATCATAAGTTCATAACAACAATATGGGTTCATCAATAAAATTAAGGACTAGATTTCCATCCCATTTTCCAAATAAGAAAATAGCATCCAATTGTTCAATCATTTGATAATTAAAGTCATCTTTGATATTATATGACGATGAATTGAATTTGAAATTTATTAACATTCCCTAAAAATGTATTGTTAATCTCATAAAAGTAATGAGTTGGATAAATGTCAATTACACCTATAAATACATAACAGAATCTGAAATTCTAAGGTTATGAGCTAGCTGACCTATAAATGCTAATGTTGCACGCTTCGATGGCAACCAATAATATGAAAGACGTCATCTAAAATTAAATTGACTCATCAAACAAACGGCCCATTAGCTCAGTTGGTTAGAGCGTCGTGCTAATAACGCGAAGGTCGCAGGTTCGAGACCTGCATGGGCCAATTAAGTGTATATTTTTATTCGTTTTGGCCGAAGAGTACACAGTTCAATGGAACTTTCACAAGGAGCGGTTTTACTATGCCTGAATAAGAGTTGTACACAAGAAGCAGCCTCTTTAATTTGCTGGTTTCCTTTTGTCCTCCAATATGATAAAAATAGTGTTTAGGGCTTCTCCTCTTAAATTCCAACTTCATTCCTAGGGTTTCAGTCCTCCAGTGTTTTCTTTTCTTTGCAAACACACGACACGAGGGGCGGATACGAAGCATGAATGAAAACCTAAGCAGTTCATTTTTGACATAGAGATGGAACATATGGTTCGTAATGCTAATGGTTCGTCCATACGGCCCAAAGACAGAGATTGATACGCTGTTTCTTTAATCAGTATAATCATCTCCAAATGATTGAAATCAGAAAAGATGTGAACACGTGATTTGTTGATTAAATGGAATTGAATATATACTTCCATTCTTTTCCTGCTCTATGGCATATTTTTAAAAAAATTCAGTTGTAACCAATGGCCTCGCGAGAAATAGCATCACCATACTCCCTCAGTTTCAATTTATGCGTCTTGCTTTTTTGTCTTTGTTACATAACATAAAAGAATGGCATATTTTTATCCTTAGCTACTACCACTTTCTTATAAGAATTAATGACATGGCATGTTTTACATGATTCAAAGGGTATTTTTGATGTGTTATACACACCTTTAGTTTAAGGTCACAAAATTTAATTTTATATATATATATATAGAGAGAGAGAGTGTATTAATGTTGGTTAGCTAAGATTTGACATGTTAAGCTAAGATTCTTCGCCCATGGAATTTTTTTTTTAAAAAAAATGCCATCATATTCAATACCCTTTGTTCAAAGAAATTCTTTGTTTCTGGCATATGTTATTCATTAAGTTTGAGTCCATATAAGAGGCAATGTACTATAAGAAAGATTCCTACTGACAATACTTGTAATCTTGGAATTACAACTTCAGAAGTGAAGTACCATGTGGTTGAATATTTTGTCCTTTTCTATACAAACATCCTGTTCTGACACAAGAAACGCTCTTCCAATTACCCAAGGCTCGAGCAACAAAATGTCTCTTTGAAAGATTTGTTTTTTCCTTCAAGTTTCAGCTTGGAAAGATGAATTTTGTAGCTTACTTATATTTTAGAATTATTATCAGTAGAAGGGAATAGTTTCAGACACTATGAAAGCACAAATATCCATAACTTTCCTCATGATCTCTTACTCATTTTTGTCACTTTCTTCGTAAAGATAATCTTTGTAATTTTGAGAAGCACACAAAAAGATGAACATCCACTTTTTTGTGTTCTCTTAAACTCCAAACACATTTGCGTCTATCTCTTTCACTCTCTCCATGAAATGAATACACATAATGTTAAGAGATTTAACTCCCGTTTGGTCATAAAATTTGGATGTTTTCTTTGTCCAAATTTTGTTTCAAATATTTGTTTGTTTATAGATTTTTATTATTTTTTGACAAATTTTGAAAACAAATTCTTCAAATCTGAAAAACAGCTTTAGAGTAGTTTTTGTACTTTTTGAAATTTTTTACAAACAAAACTTCAATTTTTTTTCAAGTAAAACGCATGTGCAAACACTACTCTCAAAAATCATTTTCATCTTATCTTCAAAATCTTATTTTTCAATTTTCAACCAAATCTATGTCCAAACGCTAGCTTGGGGCTAAAGTTCACATGGAGATATCATGAAGTAGGTGATTCTTGTTAACAAATACTATGATAACAGAAAAATACCCGAACAAATAGTACTTACTACTATATAGTAATATTACCTTGGTAAATGGTAGTAGTAGTACAAATTAAAAGACTCTCAACAAAATGCATTCTAATTAGAAACAAGTACCTCAAGATCTCACTTAGAATATAATCATGTCCCATTCATAGAGTCAGATCCAGAGTACTTGCCCCTCTTCTTGCATTTTCCTTTGTAGCATAATTAGCCTCTTCTTTCAATCTTGAACTAGCCATTGACAATGATAAAGTACTCCCATCATCATCGTCGTTGTCGTCGTGGCTGTTATTTTTTTGCTTTACTCCTAGAGATAAATTCAGGTCAATTAGGTCACAATCTATAGCCTTTCTTTTCAAAAGACTCAGTCTTGCTTTAGCTTTTGCAGCTCTCTGGAATAATGGAATCAGCTTATCAATAGGACTTTTTCTAAATAGACCTTGACCATATTTTTGTTCACGAAATAATCCCATTTCGTCTTTCATTTCATTTGTTCTCCAAGTAGATCTTTCACTAATGAAAGAAGGAATCCCAGTAATGGAATCTTGATGAATTGCCCTACTATTATTGCTGCCAAAAATCCTCTCACTGAGTTTAGTGTAAAATTCTGGTCTGACATTCATGTCAATTGTGCTTTGTGGACAATTCCTAGAAGCATCTCCATATCTGGGGAAAAGAGTAAAAATCTCTCCTATAAGTTTGGAATGAGACAAACTTAAATAGAGCGACATAGACACTGAAAATTCATATAGCCAATCGGCTACTGCTTGCTTGAAATTTAGGCGTAGTTGTTGTTATTGTGCCCATTAGAAAGCAAAAGGAAAGATAAGGAAACTTATTTACAAAAAAAAAAAAGGAAGATAAGAAGACTATAATGAGCACAATAAATTTGCATACCTAAAAGTGGAATTGAACCTTTGGATGAAGGTTGGGAGCACAGGGAGTTCACTCATGTTGTAAATGTTTGGATCTCCACCTTCCATAAAAGGCCTATAATTTGCTATACCTGTGAGGTAAGGAAATGAAATTAGTGAATTTATTAACCCTAAATTTATAAATTAAAGAGAGAAAATATAAAAGCATACCTTGAGTTAGGTCATCAATCTTCTTGCTTCTATACATCTAAAGAAACATACCAAGATAAGAAAACATACAACAAGTAATTAATCCGGAAAAAAAGGATAAGCAGTCATATAAAACTTTTTAGATTCATTGAGAATAACCTTATATTTTTTCTTGAATTTATATGAATCACGAAATTTATTAGATACTTGGTTTTGTTCTAGCTAGGCACTTAAATTTACCTGCAAATGGCTCTTGACATGAGCAATGTTGAGTCCTTTTATGTTCATCGATTGAAGAACTAATTTGGGTGTTGCTCCTGCACCAAAGAAGAAAGAAAAAAAGAAACATAAACATTTAAACAAAGGTGAATTACCCTAATAACAAACTCAAAAAGTGATCATTTTGCCGTTTTAGTGGGTGCGAATCCAAATTAGTTGGATCAGTAACAACTTAGAAGACACTGAATGAAATTCTAGGAACTTACTTTCTTGTCCACCAAGTTTTTCCACAGCCTGAACAAAACGGAGATGGAGATCAGTTGTCCATCGAAGTCTAACCATCTTGGATCGAACATAAGGCCTCACATGGAGCTTCTTCTCGCCCTCTTCAACAGTACTGTTGCTTGAACTTCCTCCATCCTTAGGTAATTTGATCGAAATGTTATCGCCCTCGTCTTCATTTTTTTCTGAATAATTAGGGCTTGTCTTGGAACATACAGTGTCATCACTATCCTCCATTAATATTCCTGGTAATAGCTCTAGCTTCTCTTTTTAGCCTTTTCCTAGAATTACAAATAGAGAAGAAAGAAAGGAAGAAGTAAATGATGCTTTTAGCATAGCCTATATATGATCAATTTTTTATGACTTAGATCCTCTTGTAAACTACAGAACTCTACTTGTTCTTCTTTCTATTTTTGAGGTGAACTGTACTATACAAGAAAAATATTCTACGTAGAAATAATTGAAAATCAAACCCTGGACTTCACCTAGAAGATGGAAGACTTCTCTCTTTCTCTCTCTCTCTCCAATTATTTATCTAACTCTTCATGCATAAAAATATATAGTAAACACAACCATTCTTGGATGATGTAATAAAGACGTTATTAGAGGTGCTTTCAGAATTTGAAGTTTATGGGTTCTGCTACGATCTCAAGTAAATATACAATAATAATTAGATCAACGGTCAAATATTTATAGATACTTAGTAAGTAATTTTTAATATATATAAATATATATTTGGAGAAAAGCTATTGAGTTCACGTAAATTCATATATATGTTGTCGCAAAATAAAAAGGGAGAGAAGGATATGAAACTGATCATGTGAGACCAGCTCTTCTTTGTACAGCTTCTGTAGAAAAGCAGATCGGCGTCTGTTTGATATGGTCCAAATGTCTTCCCTAAATCAATTTTCTATTCTGTGGTTGTTGAAAATATTTCCAACCAATGAACAAAATTAATTTACGTGAATAATTCATTTTTCAATATGACTATCTTGACTCTTACTCCACAAAACTTTTTTAAACAGACGTAAATATTATTAATGTTTAATACTAATAAATTATCACCGAAACACTATCTCCACACCACATGCCAACATATTCTACGATTAGTATAAGTAACTTACCTTAATAACTCCAGAAGCACTTTTTCGAAGAACAATCATGTTCGTACGAAAATATTTTCGGATATCATTCCATAAATTAACCTATTTATAAATATAGCAATAGTAGATACTCCTACTAGAATATAGTAGCCGGTGCATAAATTATCTCACGTTCATATAGGATTTGGGGAAGAGTCGCACCCCAAAAAAGTTTAATATAGGCAGTTACCCTAATGCAAGTATCAATGACTGATTTATACATTATGTATTTCATAAAAATTCTGAAACTAGTACTTAGTCAATTTTGTGGACTGCTTCAACACCATTGAAAACATAACTCTCCACCAATTTCTGAAGCAATACAAAGGCCAATAAAACTTTAAAATGCTCTTGTTTATTGATTAAGTCCAATCAAGTTTAGAGCGAAAATTTTATTACTCTTGTCGCTTTAGTTATAGAACAAGTCTTGGGACCACCCTAAATAATGAAGATTAGCAATTTTCGATTTTAATAACATCATTATCAAAAGATTCCAACATAAACATTGCAGCTTTTATTTATTTTCCAAAATCTCCATCTTTCACACAATCACATTGTTAGGAAGGAAATTTTCTCGTGTAAATTGTCCCATTTGGCCCATCCAATTTAGTTTAATTCTTGAGCAATCTAGCATGACAAATATATCTAATTACATATAACTACCAATATTTCCGACTTTTCCAAGTTAAAGAAAATGATTAATCGTTCAAACTGATTAAGTCAAAATATACATTTTCAGTGTAAAACGGGGATAAAAAAACAACAGATAAGTTAGCATGGGGAGTCAACTGTATCTTTTTCTGCAATGGCGAGAAATATAGTAATAGTTTTTAAAAAAGACGTTCAAATATTAGTCAAACGCTAGCATGAGAAAGAGCTGAATAAATGAGACATATTAATAAGACGTAATCCCAAAATCAATTGGTTTCAACCCTTTGGATCGGAGGATGAGGGATAAATGGAAGTAGGATTTTAATTTCTTACAATTATATAAGTAAATCTTTATAACAATTATCAACTGTAATATAACTAGTAAAAGTAGTACCCAGAGGCAGGCAGAGTCAGGATTTCAACTTTATGAGTTTTGGATTTTAGAATGGTGATTTCAAGTGTTAGTAACTAAGTTCTAAATCTAATATTTGTACATATTTAATAAATTCGAAACACCAAATACAAAGCTATAGGGTTCGGCCGAACCCGTATTTCGACTTGTGCCTCCGTCCCTGGTAGTACCAAACTAGTTATAACATGCTAAATTATACTACTAGCTTAGTAAAAAGTCGCTTAAATTCCACTAATGAGTCAACTAAGCAGAGCGCTAACAGTTGATTGTACATACTACAACTGTATGTGTGATGCCTTTGCTAGCTGTATCTGATGTTGATCTCTATAATTTTGTAAAGAAAGGAGAAAACTAATTTGTTTTTTTAGTTTTTGCATATGTTTGCAGCTTCCTTTGCGACGGGAATCACGGGCTGTTCCCAACCTATATTTGCTTAACTGCTTTTACTACCACATGATAAATACTCTTTCTCATAGGTTGTTTACATTCAGACAATTATTATTTTTTATATTATTAGGCTACATAAAAATGACTATAAGTAATTGTCATAATATAAAGCAATTAAAAATTATTTTTTTTATAAAAAAAACAACACTCTACAACATGTTAAATCATATGATAGAGTAAATATTCTTTACGCTGACTGTCAGCGTGAGCTGAATCCATTATCAAAAGCGTTCGAGAATTTAAGTGGGTATATAGGAAGGTTGAATAGGTGGTATGAGTCGGTTTGACCTAAATAATCATGATGCAGGCTAAGTTTATCTAAATTGATTAAGCTAATAGGATTTATCCAAGTAGAAGAAGAACTAATTAGTCAAGTATCAAAACAAACTATATGTAAACCAATTCAAAAACAAATTGTTCAGATTACAGAGGTCAACATTTTAAGGTTCGTCTGCGGAGAAATCGTCCACCTCCACCTGTAGGATTCCTTAACCTAGTGGTGTGTCCAGGATATTTTATAAGTGGTGTCACAATTTTTAAAAATAGACTAATGAACAAATCGCTATAACGATAAGTAGTGTCATTTTTTATATTATCCTCAATATTTTTATTTTTATTATACATATCTAGTAAAAAATTTCGACGAAGTAACACCGCATACAACCTAACCAATGAACTTTAAGAAGGGAAAAAAAGATGGAACTTGTTTAATTTCAGTCTTACACTTCTTGATTGTATAATATCGAGTACTTCTTCTTAAATTATGTTCGACTGTGTGTCTTCACATTTTTATCTGCTTAATTAAGTAAAGATTATTTCGGAAACAAACTCTCTACCTCCTCAGTGTAGGGGTAAGGTCTGGGTATACATTCCCTTGTTGTTGTTGTTTAATTAAGTAAAGATTATTGAAGCTCAGTGCACATTCAACATTGTCAAATGTGAATCTTTGAAATTTCTTTATTATTTAATGTTTGCATCACAAAACGAAAGTGATCCATTTAGTATTAGGACAAAATATAATTTTTGGAAAATGTTTTTCAAAAACGAAGTCTGAAAAAGATTCGCAGTAGCACAGCATCCAGAGAAGTCAACCCCGACACAAGTTTTGTTGTCTTTTCCATTTCGATTCTTCAATAAGATGCAAAATATTACTAGTATATATAATAAGGTCCCATAGCTAGGAATATGAGTGCCTATTAATGCGGATCTAGCATTCTTTGAGAATGGGCATGTCTGTCGCCTTTCCTCCTTTTAATATTACTTATTGATCGTCCCAATCAAGTTTTATATAATTATGATCATCATCAGCGCTGCTATCAAGTTTTAACATGTTGCATGCATGGATATACGTATCATGTTCCGTATACATATGCACGCACATATTGAGGGAGAACAACGTCTTTGGTGTTTACACCCAAAAAAAAATGACAATTGATGCACAAAGTATCCCACGTTTACATACGGTCTAAAGAAGAACTGCACCTCAAAGGGTGGCTTTTTTGTATTGACATCAAACCAAATAATTTAATTTTAGTCCTTATAAATTAATGTGAGAATATATATTATTTTACTATAATTAAAGGATAAATACATATGTGTGATAGACACATGTCTTGTGTTCGCTAATATGATATAAATATGGGGCCAGTGGCGCCGCATAATTGTTTATAAGCGGTATCCCATTTTAAAAAATGAACAAACAGATAAACCATTATAATTATATTTTACTAAAATAAATTCAAGTACATTAGCTACTACAACTCTCCTTGACGAGTTTTCATTTTTTGAAATGTATCCATAATAGTCTCATTAGAAACATTAGTAAATACATTTTTTTCTATATAAGGCACCAAACAACCACTCAAAGCTCATCATCCATTCGATTTCGTAAATCGGTCTTAATCAACTTCAACGCCGAGAAAGCTTTTTCAACTGTAGCAATAGCAACTAGCAAAGTAAAGCAAATTTCACTAGTTGAAATACAAGAGAATAAGTTCCATATTTCTTTGTTTCTACTAGCTTCTTGGAAAGATCACCAAGTCCATTAAGATCGAAAAACCTGTTATCATGATCCTGAATATCAACAATGTAATTTTCAAGCTGAACGAAGGTCAGCCATAGAATATCTATCAAAATCATCAGGATAAAGATTAGCCAATGTCAATATTTTTTAATGTTAAAGCTTGAAAAGGAGTCAATTAGGTTCAAACAAGCTACTCCCAGAAGCAACTCAATTGTCATCTCATCAAAGCGACTATTGAGTTCTTGAAGTTGCCCATCAATAATTTTACGAAACACTCCAACATTGTAGAGAAAGATATAACATAATCAAAGAAGAAAGGGCAGTTTTGTAATTTTTTAGTGTTAGTTAATTAGTTACTAACTACTAATCCTAGCTGTTAGAGTTAGTTAGAAAAGGAGTATAATTATACTTATATATACTCCCTCACGATGTGCAGATTAGACTAAGTGAAATAAACTCATTTCATTCTCTTCTAAACGCTTCTCTTCATCTATTTGTTCTTCCACTTCTTTCTCTTCTTCTATTCTCTTCAAACTGGGCAAGAAACCAGTAATTACTTCATGATGTCAGAGCAATTCAAGCTAATTCACAAGCTTGAAACTCGATTCTGCATTTGTTTTCGCAAAATTATTCAAATCCTTAAGTCAATTGTTGATTGTTTCAATTTCTTGAAGAAATCTTGTTTGCTATAGAACTGAATGAACAACCAACTGTTCCGCCTGGAAATCAGACTTCAAATTCCAATCTAGGAGGTTTGCATGCAACAGCTCCAGCAATTGATTACAACCATCCACAGTTTTTGAGCCAATCAGATGTAAGTGGCATACAAATTATATCATTTCAACTAACTGGCATTGAAAACTATTCTCTTTGGTTTCGATATATGAGAATGGCATTGTTAGGAAAGAATAAGTTGGGGTTAGTTGATGGAACTTATTCTAAA